TACTTCCTCTCAAGTCCGTACAATAATGATTAAAGACTTAAATATTAATTTAAGACAAGAATCAAATGTCGGTTGATTCGAGTAACAAATCAAGTAAGAAAATCAAAAGTTATAATCAAAAGATTATTCAGGAACCTGAATAATCATCAAATTATATTATTTTATAAAATAATGATAATTACCTCAAGCGTGGAATAGTCAATTATTTACTCGCAGAAAAATTCAAGCAATCGATGTACATGACACAACGACTTAAAGATTTTTACAGAGCAAAAATTTTGCTATAAGATCAGAAATTAAATTAACAAAATATTATAAATCATTAAACATATAGTTAATAACAATATCGTACTTCATTGAGAGGTCCTCTCCTAATCCTAGCTTAGTCTTCTAGTCAGACATGACGAACTAAAATAAAAAATAAAAAGATGAAAAAAAAAATAATCATAATCTCTAAATGAGAACCCCTATTTATACTAAAAAATAAATCCTAAGAATAGGTATAAGATATAAAATTATCTTGGAAGGAATTTCTTTCCCAAAAAGAAGTCTTGTAAGATTAAATCCCGTACATAAAATCTTTGGGACACGGGTACAAAATTTGTCCAGATTTCGAGCTTCAATTTCCTATATTTAGAGATTGAATCACGAAAATTTCGTGAAATACACTTTTGTAGCCCTTTAAGTCTTCTTTTCAACCCCCAAAAATCAAATAAATCAAATATCAAAGTCAAAAGTTATAACTAAAATACTGAAGATGTGTCAAATCCTTATTTTCTAGGATACTTTCCTAATTCATCTCTAAATGAATTTTCTTTCAACTTAGACTCTTATAAAGATTAAATTGTTGTCATATCTTCAAATCTTCTTATTTCAATCTTGACTATTCAATCCTTATCAATTATGATTCTTCATTTAGTGATTGATTCACTTGCCTTATCCATTATTACTTTAAATCAACCAATTTACCTGTAAAATAAATCAAACAACTAGAAAAAGTATCAAACTAGAAAATCAAAGAATTTAACACATTTAATCACAAATAATATGCAATTAATCAATCATTAAATATAATAAAATAACAATTTTGATGGTTAATCAACTGTCTTCCCCAAAACCATTTGAATTAATATTTGAGAATCAGATTCAATAAAATACAACCTTGAGCACAAATTAAGAACATGGCAAACGAATGAAAAGGAAACCATTAAATCTTTGGCAGCCTGAACAATAATTTTACTTTGAACTATCCAAAGTTTTTATTTTTTTAAAAACAAATTAGCACTTTTATTCCATGAATGAAAATTTACATTTTGGAAAAAAGGCTAAAAAATGCCTATAACCAAACCAAGTAAGAAGAAAAATACAAGAATCAAGCAATAACAAATTTCTTCCTTAAGTTCTGTATCCCATGTTGAACTATCTAATGATTGCAAGAAAAATGAGCAATATTGAATTTAATTTTTGATGTAGATGCTTAAATACTGAATTTACCACAACCAAAAACATGTATAATCTACATCACATTGCCACACTAAATTGAAATTTTCTAAAATTTTCTACCCCCTAAAGCAATCAAAGTCTAGATACTAGTGGCTAGTTGCAGATGCACAAATAGCATAAACAACAAATTATACAGAGATAATAGAGAAGTGGAATCATTTTGATCAATACGCCCATTTGAGTGTTCAGTATAATTTAAACTTAAGAATAAAACAAAGACAATTGAAGTTAAGACAACTGGGAAAACCCGACGGATGAGCAGCTTATTCCACACATCTGGTTTGGTAAGGGTTAGGGTTAGGGAAATGGGATTGGTAGGTTTGGTAATATGAAGAGCTCATGTCGCTTTGCTGCATCTTCAAAATTCCTCGATTGGTTTACGGAGAGAGAGAGAGAGAGAGGGGGAAGCTTCGTCCATTTTTATAGCTTCGGCCAAAGACGAACGAAGCCAGATCTAAACCTATTATCTAAACACACCCTTAGGGATCACNAGAGAGGGAAGCTTCGTCCATTTTTATAGCTTCGGCCAAAGACGAACGAAGCCAGATCTGGGTGTACCTCAGCGAACTAGATCGGTTCATGTTCGCTACGGAGAGAGAGAAGTTTAGGGGGGTAGAGAGAGAGAGAAAAGTTTGGGGGGACAGAGAGAGAGAGAGAGAGAGACAGAGAAGATGAAGCTTACCTCGAACGAGTTGACGATCGCCTGTGATGAACGTCATCACCAACCAGTGCTTGGAGCTGAGCTACTTGGACAACAACGAATGGTCTTTTCTGTAAGGTGACAGAAAATATCTAAGAAGGAGGGGTAACCCCGTCTTCCTACCTGATTAACCTGGTGGGTAAAATTATAACCCATGAAAGGAGTGGGTTACATTTAACATAACCCACTTAATTTGAATAAAAAATACTGTAACAACCGAGTCAAGATTTGACTTAAGATTTATATCCTCTCGCATTTTTCAGTTGTCAAACACCAAATATATGGAACCCACTTCATTATTAAGTTATTCTTACGAGACTTAACCTATTATCCAAACACACCCTTACGGATCACAATGATTACTCTTGTATGAATAAGGGTAAGCCAATACAATACTGCCCTTTAGACTAATGAGCACAAGGTAAGTATACTTGGCAAAGGTTAATTTACCTTTATCTAGACCCCGAAGCGGGGGAGAGAGAGGGCCTCAATCTTAGTTGATTGGCCTAAATTCAAAGCTTCAGGTGGCCCAATGCTTTACATAAACCCCAATTCTTAGTCCAGCTTCGCAGGGACAGATAGATTCGAAAATTAAACAAAAATGGTGTCGCAGCGATGTTCTCAAAATCTTCTATTCTCCAGACAAAATGCAAAATAGAAGCCCGCCTCCGATCCGGGAAAATCAAAATTCTCATACGACATCCAAAATAAAAATAAAAATAAAAATAAAAATGGGGATTGAATGCGATGAAGGTATGATATCCTTTTTGTTTTATGAGAGGAAAATAGGGAGTTGTCAATATTCGTTTTAAGAGTCGAGCATGAAGCAACCTACCAAAGATTACATTCAATAAGTATCTTATCTTGTTTATTATAAGGAGTTACTATAAGAAACTAATTAAGAACCTAATTCAATATAGTCATTGGATTAGTTATGACATGTGATTATCAGATGGAGCACATTTTTAATCTAATAGTTATATTAAATTAAAATTTTAAATTAGGTTTAAATAACATTTTTTTTATTATAAGATTCCAAGACAATTTGTCTTTTGTTTAATGAAAAAAAATGCTAAATATTTGAGTTTCTCCGTGAAAAATGAGTCAATATTTTTGAAAAAAAATTCTATTCTATCTCTTTCAGCAAAATTTAGATGTACAATACAAAATCTACAAGAATCTTTGTAAACAATTATTTCGAATAAAATAATAAAGAACATGATTACGGTACCCAAATTTTTTTTTTTTTTTTTTGGTTATGTACTTCAAAAATTTACTATTTTAATTAGTCTTTTTATAANTTGACTTATTTTCTGTTTTTGTGTTGTATATCTTATTTTTTTCAAAAATTTTGAGAAAAAAATGTTAAATAAACAAGTTTTAAGTGTTTTTAAAATTTTGAAAACAAAAAACTATTTTGCAGATGATAACCAAATAGAATCTAACATTCTTTTAAGGTGCAAAATGAAATTTGTCCACCTGATAATATTACCTAAGATATTTACCACAAAACGAAAGGTGTTTATTAAAGGACCAATCAGAACAGCCAAAAACATCTGTAACTATATGTTAACAGGAAAATTTTTGGCTGAAGAAAAATCTTAAAAATAGAATATAAAATAATATTATTCTTAAATTCATAGAAATNTTCTGGTGGGTTATTTATAATAAAAAAATTTATTACGTTTATGGATGATTTACTATTTTGTGGGCGTTTTTACCCCTATTACGAGGTTTTGCTGTTATAATTATTTTTATTATTTTTTTTTGGTGCAAAAAAAAATTGCCACTTTAGTAGGTGATTTACCACGTTTGTGATAATTATTTTTATCACTTTTCTTTGGTACCACAATAGTAGTAAAATACTAATGTTATATTGACCAAATTTTGAAACCAAATTTAGAACTCAAAAGACGTGACAGTTGACTTGGGTTTCTTTGATTGGTGTCATGTCATTTGGGCCCCAATAAAAATTTCAAATAATCAACTGTCATGTCATTTGAGCTCTAAATTTGATCCCAAAATTTGATCAATATAAAATTACTCGTAATAAAAATACCTGTAAATGTGATAAATGTCGGTGCAGTAACAATTTTTTTTTCCCGGTATCGTAGACAACTCCAATGATAAATGAATATATTATTCAACATGTTTTTTANTTCATTGCTTTCTTCTTCATCCTCTGGGTTGCAGAACTGGTCAAATTCTCTTTCCTTCTTCTCTCGTCCCTCTGAATCGTCAAATTCCCATTTCTTCGTCCCCAGAAACTGGAATCGAGTCATTCAAGTCTGCAAGAATTATTTTCTATGTTCTTATCGATAAGTAAATACAAATAGGAAGGATTGTTCTAATTTATGCGACGTTAGGGCTTCCAAATTTCCCGAATTTGTGGAATTTGGATATGTTCTGTTGAAAAATATTGAGTTCGTTAGTAAGGTTACAAAGTTTGAGGTCAATTTGTATGATTTAGTGCAGTTGTTGCTGTCGAATTACCCAATTTCGCGAAGTTAGGTTGTGGTGATTGTCTTATAAGGGGAAAAATGTTGATTTTTGAAAATTTGATGGTTTTGGAGGTAATTTGATCGGCGAAGAGTGGTGGGTGCGGATGGATTGTAGAATCTGTATGGCCACGGGGGACTTGTNGTAGTTTGATTCCTTAAAGTTAGCATGTGGTAGTTGGTACTGTCCACAATCTGGCCCCACCCAAAAATATATTGAGTATCTGCAAGGCTTTTGTGACAGTGTCACTGCCCAATATTAAGATCCNTTGATTTTTGAAAATTTGATGGTTTTGGAGGTAATTTGATCGGCGAAGAGTGGTGGGTGCGGATGGATTGTAGAATCTGTATGGCCACGGGGGACTTGTGGATGAGACTGGGCGGCGTTGGTGGTGGGGTGGGTGACATTGGAGGTGGGTTTAGCCACGAGAGTGAGCATGACTTGGCGGTTATGGTTAGTGATTTCTTGGAAAATGGAAGTAGTGGTGGGACAGAGTCAAGGTGGAGTAGCGACAGCGATTNCTGTGAAGTCAGATCAGGAGGTCGAAAAAGACACGAGGAACTCAGAGAACCAGTAGTAAAGTTCCCCTTGGGGAGAGATTGTAGCTGAACCGACCAGGAAACAGTCGGGTGACTGCGAAAATTAGGTCCCATGCATGAAACTCTCAACCAACCAAGATTCTCTCTTAAAATCAAAGAGGATTCCATGAATAATAGATAAAGATCTTGATCGAAATCCCACGGAATAGGTGACAATCTTATAAATATTATGCAACGCCTCATCGTGAGGCACACAAAGAGAAAAAAAAGAGAAAAACCCTAATCAGTTTAGTACGATCTTATATTACATTCAACTAATCAATAGAGAAGAGAAAGGAGCAAGAACCTCCATTGAAGAGTGGATTAGTCGAGCTCTTGAGCCGGTGAACCACTATATTTTCACTGTGTACACCCCTTTAATTCCGTCAATATTTTATTGCAGCATCATACATGAGCCTTGTAACTCTGATCCACGCACATCTCACGTTACGTACACTTTTTACTCATCCACGTTGATTTACGTCATCAAAAATGAAAAACAAAGAAAATAAAATAGAAGTATGGGTAAATTAGCGGGGTTGTGTTGACATTAAGAATCATGCAGAGAATATAATGATTTGAACCCAAAAAAAAATGATATAAATTTTATATCATTAAATCAAAATAAAAAAAAATTAAATAAATCTTAAATTTTGTACCATATTGCGACAAAGACACCGATAAATAAAGAAAGAAAGAAACAACCAATGATGTCTTTCACTAATGAAAGGGACACTTGAGCAACCAGAGAACCGAAATTTTGAAATATAGATGAAAGAGTGAAATTGAAATTCAAAACTTACACCACACAGAACGCACTAAACGGAACAAAATACAGACGTAGATGGTAAACTCAACAGCAGTTAGGTGTTGCACCTAATTGCAACCATTTTTTTCCTTTCAGAATGCAATATAACAAATTTTATTTTTTAGGGTACAAAAATAAGAATTTAAGGATATGTTTGATTTGCATCTCAAAAAATAGTATCCAAAGACTATTTTTAAAAAGAGTTTTTAAAAAATTTTAAATTACAAAATCTGTTTGGTTATATATTTTTGAAAATTGTTTTAAAAAATAAAAATTATAAAATTTGTTTGGACAATAATCACAATTCCTACATCTCTTCAACTCTTTGTCTCTCTCTCTTTCACTGTGTATCATAACCGAGAACCACCATCAACCCAACACTAACAACCACCACCAACCCAACAACCACCATTAACTCAAACCGAGAACCACCAAGACCACCACCCAAATCAAGAATCACCCAACAATCACCACCAACCCACACCGAGAACCACCCAATACCCACAACCACCATCACCACGGAAATCGAGAATCACCCAACACCCACAACCACCACCACCACTAAAGGATCTGTGCTTCTAATTGTCGGATCTGTGCTTTCAGTCACCAGATCTATAGGTTGAAAACACATCCATGGTGTCGGCACAAGAAAAAGAGAGGTCAAAGAGAGAGAGAGGTGAGGGAAAAAAGTTTTTATATTGGTACAATAAGTGTATAGTAAATAGGATATTTTTCGTGTTTTCATAATTTTCACAATAAAACCTAGAAAATAAGTTTGACTTATTTTCTGTTTTTGTGTTGTATATCTTATTTTTTTCAAAAATTTTGAGAAAAAAATGTTAAATAAACAAGTTTTAAGTGTTTTTAAAATTTTGAAAACAAAAAACTATTTTGCAGATGATAACCAAATAGAATCTAACATTCTTTTAAGGTGCAAAATGAAATTTGTCCACCTGATAATATTACCTAAGATATTTACCACAAAACGAAAGGTGTTTATTAAAGGACCAATCAGAACAGCCAAAAACATCTGTAACTATATGTTAACAGGAAAATTTTTGGCTGAAGAAAAATCTTAAAAATAGAATATAAAATAATATTATTCTTAAATTCATAGAAATTGAATGTTTTATCATTATCCGTCTAGGTACAATTTCCCTATCACCTTATCCTTTTCTCCCCCGAGACTTTCGTTAAATACAACATCCATCTTAACTTGGTCGTTACGAAATCATCCAAGCCCATTATCGTCATTTCACAACTATCTCCACTTTTATATGTATTCTTCCATCTTCCTCTTCATTGCTTTCTTCTTCATCCTCTGGGTTGCAGAACTGGTCAAATTCTCTTTCCTTCTTCTCTCGTCCCTCTGAATCGTCAAATTCCCATTTCTTCGTCCCCAGAAACTGGAATCGAGTCATTCAAGTCTGCAAGAATTATTTTCTATGTTCTTATCGATAAGTAAATACAAATAGGAAGGATTGTTCTAATTTATGCGACGTTAGGGCTTCCAAATTTCCCGAATTTGTGGAATTTGGATATGTTCTGTTGAAAAATATTGAGTTCGTTAGTAAGGTTACAAAGTTTGAGGTCAATTTGTATGATTTAGTGCAGTTGTTGCTGTCGAATTACCCAATTTCGCGAAGTTAGGTTGTGGTGATTGTCTTATAAGGGGAAAAATGGTGATTTTTGAAAATTTGATGGTTTTGGAGGTAATTTGATCGGCGAAGAGTGGTGGGTGCGGATGGATTGTAGAATTTGTATGGCCACGGGGGACTTGTGGATGAGACTGGGCGGCGTTGGTGGTGGGGTGGGTGACATTGGAGGTGGGTTTAGCCACGAGAGTGAGCATGACTTGGCGGTTATGGTTAGTGATTTCTTGGAAAATGGAAGTAGTGGTGGGACAGAGTCAAGGTGGAGTAGCGACAGCGATTCTGGGTTCTGCGATCTTGCTCACCTTGCTGACAAGATATCTGTTAGTTTTGCTCTCTCTACAATTTTTTATATTTCACATTTGATGGAAATGCAAATATTTTCATGCTATTCTGTTTGTTGTCCTTATTAAAAAAAATCTGAATTTTTTGGCAATTCGTGTTGTTTATGAGTTGTGATGTTTTGGGATTTGATTTGATGACTTGAGTGCAGCAATCGATTTTCATTTTTCAAACTTTGAAAACAAGGATTGAGACGACATTAGGTTTGGGAATTAAAATCAAACAGAGCCTGTATGTTTAAAAAACCTTGCTTTAGATGGACTCTAGTGTGTCAGTTTGTTTGAATTGATGAAGTCTGCATGTTATTGTATTTCCGTCGTGCTGTGCCAGTGGATTAGATAAATGTTGCACAGTTCTATATCTTTTATCAAAAACAATATGACTATTGATTTGTTTACAAGTCTTCACATAAGCTTTTTATCTGTCATTGTGCAGTATTACAAGAAGTCAGTGGATCAGTATGTGAGCGATTTGCTATCAGTTGTTAATTCTCTTATGCTATCTATTAAAGGCATTGATCTTCACACTGTCAAGTCAGGACCGTGCAATGCTAGTTGCATCAGGTTTTCTCTGGTAAAGCTTCTGAGGTTTTCTGGTTTTGATGCTGCTGTATGCGCATCCAAGTGGCAGGGTAGTGGTAAGGTTCCTGGAGGTATGCCATCAGCTTCCTTGAGCTTCAATTGCATGTTCTGTGTTAGGTTTATAGATAATAAGAGTGCAAAAATATGTAACTTCTCACCAAGATGGGGAAAAGAAAAACTTCAATAAGTTGTTGAAAGCTTTAGAGCCATGGCTGCACCGCTCTTCATCTGTCACATACTCTTACATATCGTTGATAGAATGCAATAACTAGTGTTTTCATCTGATGATCGTCACAAGTTTATAAGCAATTATTGGACAATAAAAATTTATTACATCAAATTTGTTCTGGAAGGGTGGCATATCTTAGCAGACTAATAGTGTTGTGGTAGGCTCAAACTATTGGGGGCATATGCAAAAGCAGAGTAGTTGTAGCAGATTTCCTCATCTTATCTTGCATTTATAGATCTGACGTTTGGACTGGCTTGCGGGCCCTGTCCAGGGAACTCTCTCCCTCTCACACTGTCTTGAGGAGAAAATTAGCTTGTGCTTTTTTGATCTGATAACTAGTGCTATCATGCAGGGGATCACGAGTACATAGATGTGGTGAATTACAATGATACTGGGAGCTCTGAGCGTTTCATCATTGATATCGACTTTCGGAGCCACTTTGAAATAGCCAGAGCTGTTCATACGTATGATTATATATTGAATTCCCTTCCAGTTGTTTACGTAGGATCCTTGACGAAGCTGAACCAGTTCCTTCAAGTCATGGTTGAAGCTGCCAGATCTTCTCTCAAGCAGAACTCAATGCCCCTTCCTCCATGGAGATCTCTCGCTTATTTGCAAGCTAAGTGGCAGGCACCCTACAACAGAAAGTTTAAGCCTGATGAACAGGATGTTAACAGCACGAGTCCTGAGCATAAGCAGTGCAGTGGACGTTTAAAGCGCCTGCAATCTTTGATCCAATCTGAAATTGAAGTAGAGCGAATGTTAAACCCCATAAACAATGACAAAAATCGGAGGTGGAAATTTCTGTGGCAGAAGCATCCTTCACTCAGGACTCCTTGAGGCGCACAGAATCTTGTTGGGACATGAAATGCACGTTCATGGGCACCATTGATGTAAGGGCCAACCTTTTGAAAAAACCCCGAACATCAAATAAGTTCTGTATCAGAAAGGCAGACAGGTTCATATAGTGACATGAGTAATAACACACCATGCTAGGGAGGGGATGTTTTTTTTCCCGTCTCATGTTGTGCCGTTTAGACTTTGTTCTTTCTGTATCTTTTGCACCAGAAAATCAAGAAGGGTCAGGTTGCCACTGGTTCTCTTTATCTTCCACAGCTTTGGATCCTAACCGGTTCGTACTTGCTTGATCCTGGAGTATCATTACATAGGTTGTCTTTTTTTTTTTTTCTGTTTCCTCACTGTATTTCCAAAATGTATTCCTTGTTTCTCTGTTATGTGGCTTAGGATACTTGCTTCATTTTCCCCCCTCTTGGTAGGGGGTTTCTTTCAAATGCTAACACATAGAAGGCATTTTTTTTTTTTTTTGGGTTTCGTTGAACTATTAAGAGTTTCATCACTTTCCAGCAGTCAAAAGGCTGCTTGAACATCGTTGTATTTTTTTTCAATGCATCAATAGAGTTGCTTTTTGTAGTGTTCAGATGCTAATCTTCTCTCTCTCCTCCTTGTAACATTTTAATTAATCTTTTGGTTAAGTAAAGTAAAGATTTTTGGATCCAGTGTCGTTTTTGTCTGTTCTTTCCTTCTTTAGGTTGTATATGATGTTTACTTGCCAAAAAAGAAAGATTGTATATGATGTTCGAAACTTCCGATACTACTCATATGCTTTTCATAGTGTATGTCACCAGCATTGCATCAAACACAATCCACGGTCAGATGGGACCTTATATTCTGCTTGATATGCCCTCTATTGATAGGGGACATTATCTGATTCATCATGAAACAACAATGTAGGCATAGAAAGTTTGAAGGGAAAACTGTTGTTACTCGTTGGCCAGATAATTCAGTTTCCACCCGAAAGCCTCACGTCACTGTAAGATGCGAATTACCATGTTTGGATCATAACAAGTTGGAGTGTAATGGTGAACAAGGGCCGTGATAAAGATAATTATATACTTTCATGGTTTTTTTCTTCCACAGAGAGAGAGACAAAGATACCATTTATGGTTTTTTTACCAGGTATCTCATCTTCTGACGCTATCGCCATCAAACGCAAGTGTTCATCTTGATGAAGAGGTGGTGGTTGTATTCGTTCATGCTTTTAGCAGTGGATTTGCACTCTAATAAATGAGGGAAAATTTATGGTTAATACCAATTAGTTAGCTTCTGTTACTCGACTGACCACTTGGCCACATAGGAGCTTAGCTGAATTCGAGAGCCAAAACATTAGACACTCAATATTGTTATTTCGATTCAACTTCTTTATATAATGTGCTGATCTAATTTATTGTTATTGTTAGATTTTTTTCCGGTAAGTGTTAATGGTCGATTAATACTGAATCAGATATGGATTTTTATCAGATATCTATGCAATTGAGATTGAAGCTTGATGATTCAAGGGGGAAGAGGAGGCGGAGGAGGGCAGGGGAGGGGTGGCGTGTTTTTCTTTTTCTTTTTCTGTTCTTTTTGTTGGGGCGGGGTGGGGAATGAAAGTGTAATGGCATTCTATTTAAAATGACTCTGGCTAATGTCTTAATAAAACATGAACCCCTTTTAACACTGATCACAATAGTAATACATTTGTCTATGACCTAAAGGAGTACTAAGCAATAACCTTGTCGAGATCGAGAGAGAGAACGTCGCCACAATACAAGGCTCTTATCTAATAACATGGTCTACGAAAGATAGGTAATATGTAAGTTTACTCTTATTTTAGCGATATAGATTCACAAATTTAAATCTGTAACATATCACTTAGGCAGATGAATACTTGTAATAACTCGAAATTTAACCTTGAAATTGAAAATATTATTTTAAAATTAAAATTTTAATATAACACCAACACTTTCAAAATCCGAACTTCTTATAACAAGTCCTCATCATTGCAAATTAAGCCAAAGTAATAACATAAAAGAAAGAAAAAGAAAAAGAACAAGACAAGAAAGAAGAAGGGCATCAAGACTGGGGAACAAAAGGATCGATAAAAGCATTGTACATTGGATCAGCAAGCCAAAGCCTAGAAAGATGGTGAGCAGAGGCACTGGTCCTGTGAATTTCTTCAATAAACCAAATGGTGGTTTCAGCTTTTCAAGGATAAATGATGTTGTCCATGGGCTTGTACTCATCCTCTGTGTCAATCCTTGACTGGTCCCACTGTTTTAGTTGCAGATTGGTGAGGTAGTGAAGTGGCTGCCCATACTTTCTTCATTGATTTGGCTAAACCTTGCCATGTATTGAAAGGAATCACTGATCCACCCATGGTTGGTATTTCGATCTCTTTCATGTAGTCTTTGATACATTTGGGCATGCCTCATCATTGCATCTGCACTATAGAAAAGCATGTGTTACAATTACAGTCGAAATGGATTATGTGAAGACTAAGTTGTATCCTATTTAAGTTATGTTTTATTATAATTTAATCAAAATTTGTTTCCGTCTATTTATAATTGAATTTATCTTGTGTATAAATAATATTTAGTTGGATTCCTGCTAACCTATTTCTTAAAAAAATCTGACGAGTCTATATACTTTGTGACTTGAATTTGTTTAAACAAAAACAATTTGAACTTGATAAACTAAAGGTAACTTTGTGTCCATTTGTGAAAATTGTTAGTCCTGTTTCCATCCTACTAGGACTGTTTACCCGAGCCGACGGATAGGAAATAGTAGATTCCATCTTCTGAGTTGATAAATTGTGGAATGTCAGTTTTTTGGTCGACCCTATCTGATCGAGGGTAATGTTCCGAACCAAATTCATCCAAAAACTCTACTCGGAAGTTGGGTAGCAATGCGAAATATCTCACATATTTTCAGTTTTTAAGTTATTAGTTTTTTTGGTTATTTTAACATCTCAATTATCAAAATTTTGGGTTACTTTCACAATTATGCTATTAAAATATAATAAAAAAACATGTAAACCAACACAATAAACCAATAATATTAAAAAAACACAATACATCCAATAATATGAGCATATAAAATGACGTCATTTTATACCAAATATATTATTTTATTAAAAAAATTAAGTATATGTGCGGATGGAGTGGGAATGCAAAATTTTTATGAGTATTTTGCATTGTTATTCGCAGTTTTGCGAAATACTAAAATTTCTATCATTAGCAATAATATTAAAGAAAATATAATAAATTCGATAATTTGAGCATATAAAATGACGTCATTTTATACAAAATATATTATTTTATTAAAAAAAAAATTAAGTATATGTGTGGATCGAGTGGGAATGCAAAACTTTTATGAGTATTTTGCATTGTTATCCGCTGTTTTGCGAAATACTAAAATTTCTATCATTAGCTAGTCGAAATTTTGCAAAATTCCAACAATTAGATAGAGTCGAACAAGAAAGATGCGAAACGGATTGGGTGGATAGAATTTTAAACAGCCCTACATTCTACCAAACAAAAAGGACATGGGTAATTGTGCGGACAAAATTGGACACCAATTGATAATTTTTGTAAAGAACTTTTATACACAAATTACTAGGTATATTAATTTCATGTGGTTCACTAAAATTGGGTATTATAATAAAATTATGAAAACTAAAATATAGTTTTGATCCTCATTGACTCATAATTTTTGGTGCACCCTAAAAGATAACAACTAAACAAGTCTTCAATGATGAAACAAAAAGGATTTCTAGAATAAGACTTCTGTATTCTGAAACTAATAGATATGCATTGACTAGTCAATTTCAAAGCAGTAAATGTTAACCTAATTAATTATAAACTAATTAAGGATTAATAATTGTTTGAAATGAAAATAAGAAAATTCATGAAAATGAAGTAGATGGTNCTAATAGATATGCATTGAAAATTCTTGTATTTTCTGCTAGAGTAAACTAAGCTCTTTGAGACAGTTAATACATGTTTAGACATAAAATATTAAATCTTAGGAATATTCAATGTATTGAAATTTGGTAATTTGGACGCACTAAGAAGATGCCAAGTGACAGAATTTGAAGAAAGAAAAGAGATGATCAGTGACAACTATATTTGAAAAGATGAATAATTAACTAGAAGTTACCAGTTAAATAACATGTGATCAAAGCAAAAACAACTCTCTTTGATTAGTTCCATGTACTGTGTGTTTATTTATTAATTTCATTCAAGAAAGTCATGAAAGAAGACATTTGAACCTCTTACAAACAATCGTCTGAAAACTGTTTGTCGATAGAGATTTTCATTGATCTTAATAGATTTTGGAGTAATAATACATAGGAAAAATTTCAACCACACCCCTTCTAGTTTATCATATTTTCAAGAACGCTCCCTCTATTTTCTAAATCTTCACTAACACCTCTTATCGGATTAAAAATATTAACTAGAATGTAATTTTACTAAATTGCTCATGATATATTTGAGGACAAACTTCATTTACACCCCCTTCTAGATAAATATATCTTCAATATGAGATCCCTTATATTTTCTAATTTTTTTTTACATATTAAAAATTAGGCTGATTAAAATTTGATTTAAGCTAATTAAAATTTATTTTTTTACATATTAAATTTTGGGCTAATTAAAAATTATATTTTTATTAAAATTTGGGCTAATTAAAATTCTATTTAAGCCAATTAAACATTATTTTTAATCAACTCAAATCAAATTTTAATCAATTCGCATTGAATTTTAATTAGTCTAAATTTTAATACATAAAAAAATATAAATTTTAATTGACTCAAATTTTAATTGACATAAATTTTAATAAGTAAAAAAATATAAATTTTATTCGATGCGAAAGCGAATTTTAACAAGCGCTAACAACTTGGGTAGAATTCAAATCAGCACAAATTTTAATACGAAAAAAATAAATTTTAATAGGCTCGAATTTTAATACGTTAAAAAAAATAAAATTTAATCAGGTTCAATTGAATTTTAATTGGTTCAAATTTTAATATGTAGAAAAATAAATTTTAATCGGCTCGAATTTTGATAAAATTTTGTGTAGAAAAATTACTTGGGGTTTATGTAGGGGCATTTTTGGTATTTTAGATGAATNGATAAAATTTTGTGTAGAAAAATTACTTGGGGTTTATGTAGGGGCATTTTTGGTATTTTAGATGAATTTTTTTGTTAGAAATGGTAGTTTAATGGCAGGGGTGTTAGTGATGTTTAAATATAAACTAGAAGGGGTGTCAGTGATGTTTTTAATAATAGAGGGGTATCCTTGAAGATATAGTAAACTAAGAGAGGTGTGATTGAA